TAGTACACTCCTACTTCTAGTCGAGGCCTTACCCAGGCCTGGTTCTAGGCGAGGCCAGCCAAGGCCTGGATCTAGTTGAGGCCTAGCCCAAACCTGGCTCTAGTCGAGGCGTTGCCCAGGCCAGGATCTAGTGGAGGCCTAGCCCAGGCCTAGTTCTATTCGAGGCCTAACCCAGGCCTGGTTCTGGTGGAGGCCTAGCCCAGGGTTTGTTTAAGTCGCGGCCTAGCCCAGGGTTCATTCTAGTCGAGGCCTAGTCTAAACCTGGTTCTAGTCGAGGCCTTGACCAGGCGTGGTTCCAGTCAAGGCATTGCTCAGGCCTGGGTCTAGTCGAGACCTAGCCCGGGCCTGGTTCTTGTCGAGGCCTTGCCCAGGCCTGGTTCTAGTCGATGCCTTGCCCAGGCCTGGTTGTAACCGAGGCCTTGCCCAGGCCTGGTTCTTGAAGAGCCCTTGTGCAGGCCTGGTTCTATTCGAGGACTAGTCCAGGTCTGGATCTAGGCGAGGCCTAGCCCAGGCCTGGGTCTAGTCGAGGCCTAGTCCACTCCTGGTTCTAGTCAAGGCCTTACCCAGGCCTGGTTCCAGGCGAGGCCTAGCCCAGGCTTGGTTCTAGTCGAGACCTAGCCCAGGCCTGGTTCTAGTCGAGGCTTTGCCCGGGCCTGGTTGTAACTGAGGCCTTGCCCAGGCCTGGTTCTTGACGATGCCTTGCCCAGGCCTGGTTCTAGTCGAGGCCTTACCCAGGCCTGGTTCTAGGCGAGGCCTAGCCCAGGCCTGGTTCTTGACGAGGCCTTGCCCAGGCCTGTTTCTAGTCGAAGCCTAGCCCAAGCCTGGTTCTAGTCGAGGCCTAGTCCACTCCTGGTTCTAGTCGAGGCCTTACCCAGGTCTGGTTCTAGGCGAGGCCTAGCCCAGGCCTGGTTCTTGACGAGGCCTTGCTCTAGGCAAGGCCTAGCCCAGGCCTGGTTCTTGACGAGGCCTTGCCCAGGCCTGGTTCTAGTCGAGGCCTGAATCAGGCTCAACTTAGGATATGTGCGGCCTAGTTCAGGCTCAACCTAGGATACGAGAGGCCTGGATTTAGTCAGGCCTTGCCCTAGGTGAGGCCTAGTCCAGGCCTGGATCTAGTCTCGGCCTTGCCCAGGCATGATTCTAGTCGAGGCCTAGTCCAGGCCTGGGTCTAGTCGAGGCTTTGACCAGGCCTGGTTCTAGTCGAGGCCTAGCCCAGGCCTGGTTCTAGTCGAGGCTTTGCCCAGGCCTGGTTCTAGTGGAGGCCTAGTTCTAGTCGAGGCTTTGCCCAGGCCTAGATCTATTCGAGTCCTAACCCAGTCCTAGTTCTAGTGGATGCCTAGCCTAGGGTTTGTTTAATTCGCGGCCTAGCCCAGGCTTGGTTCTATTGGAGGCCTAACCCAGGCTGGGTTTTAGTCGAGGCCTAGTCCAGGGTTCATTCTAGTCGAGGCCTAGCCCAGGCTTGGCTCTAGTCGAGGCCTAGCCCAGGCTTGGCTCTAGTCGAGGCCTAGCCCAGGCTGGCTCTAGTCGAGGCCTAGCCCAGGCTTGGCTCTAGTCGAGGCCTAGCCCAGGCTGGCTCTAGTCGAGGCCTAGCCCAGGCTTGGCTCTAGTCGAGGCCTAGCCCAGGCTTGGTTCTAGTCGAGGCCTAGCCCAGGCTTGGTTCTAGTCGAGGCCTAGCCCAGGCTTGGATCTATTGGAGGCCTAGCCCAGGCTTGGCTCTAGTCGAGGCCTAGCCCAGGCTTGGTTTTAGTCGAGGCCTAGCCCAGGCTTGGTTTTAGTCGAGGCCTAGCCCAGGCTTGGTTCTATTGGAGGCCTAGCCCAGGCTTGGCTCTAGTCGAGGCCTAGCCCAGGCTGTTGAGCCTCCCTCCGCCTGCGCCGCCTTCGTCGTAACGGGCAGCCTCCTGTGCCACTCACTCACCTCACCCACCCATTCACCACTCACCTCACCCATCCACTCACCTCACCCACCCATTCACCACTCACCCATCCACTCACCTCACCCACCCACTCACTCACCTCACCCATCCACTCACCTCACCCATCCACTCACCACTCACTCACCCATCCACTCACCACTCACTCATCCACTCACTCACCTCACCCATCCACTCACCACTCACTCACCCATCCACTCACCACTAACTCACCCATCTACTCACCACTCACTCACCTCACCCACCCACTCACGACTCATCCACTCACCACTCACCCATCCACTCACCACCCACTCACGACTCACCCACTCACCACTCACTCACCACTCAATCACCCATCCACTCACCACTCACCCATCCACTCACCACTCACTCACCTCACCCACCCACTCACCACCCACCCACGACTCACCACTCACTGACCCACTCAGTCAGCCACCCACACAGAGAAAGCTGGGAGTCTGTGTGGTAGTGAATTTTATTCAGATTTAATAATGGCCAGTTCACAGTCTGTGTGTGTACCTGTGTGTCTGTGTGTGTGTCTGTCTGTGACTGTGTGTGTGTGTCTGTGTGTGTCTGTCTTCTGTCTGTGTGTGTCTGTGAGTCTGTCTGTGTGTAACTGTGTGTGTGCGTGTGTGTGTCTGTCTGTGTGTGTACGTCTGTGTGTGCGTGTGTCTGTGTGACTGTACGTCTGTGTGTCTGTGTGTGACTGTGTGTGTGTACGTCTGTCTGTGTGTCTGTGTGTGTCTGTGTCTGTGTGTGCGTCTGTGTGTGTGTCTGTGTGTGTGTCTGTGTGTGTCTGTGTGTGTCTGTGTGTCTGTGTGTGTCTGTATGTGTCTGTATGTGTGTCTGTGTGTGTCTGTGTGCGTGTCTGTGTGCGTGTCTGTGTGTGTCTGTGTGTGTGTGTCTGTGTGCGTGTGTGTCTGTGTGTGTGTCTGTGTGTCTGTGTGTGTGTCTGTGTGTCTCTGTGTGGGTGTCTGTGTGTGTGTCTGTGTGTCTGTGTGTGTGTCTGTGTGTGGTGGTCAGCGCTAAGCTGCGCTACGAACCTGGCCACCTGAGTTCGATTCCCGCTCACGGCCAACACCACTCAGTGACGATTATCTGAACCGGTCCTGGGCCTCCCCTAGGTCGACTCAGCCTCAAATGAGTACCTGGTGTAGCGGTGATGGTGGTGATGGTGTAGTGAACATCGCTAGCACTGGGAAGACAAAGGCGGCCGGGCGTGGCCACCCAACCCCTTCGTGTACCGTGCCGGCCTTCATAGGTGCTGCTACTCGCTAACAGCACTTGCCCCTGCAGTCTGTCACAGGCTATACGGGGGATCTTTGTCTTTGCGAGTTATAACTCTGTGTGTGTGTGAGTTATAACTCTGTGTGTGTGTGTGTCTGTGTGTGAGTTATAACTCTGTGTGTGTGTCTCTGTGTGTGTGTGTCTGTGTGTGAGTTATAACTCTGTGTGTGTGTCTGTGTGTGTCTGTGAGTTATAACTCTGTGTGTGTGTCTGTGTGTGTGTCTGTGTGTGAGTTATAACTCTGTGTGTGTGTTTGTTATAACTCTGTGTGTGTGTGTCTGTGTGTGAGTTATAACTCTGTGTGTGTGTGTCTGTGTGTGAGTTATAACTCTGTGTGTGTGTCTCTGTGTGTGTGTGTCTGTGTGTGAGTTATAACTCTGTGTGTGTGTCTGTGTGTGTCTATGTGTGTGAGTTATAACTCTGTGTGTGTGTCTGTGTGTGAGTTATAACTCTGTGTGTGTGTCTGTGTGTGTCTGTGTGTGAGTTATAACTGTGTGTGTCTGTGTGTGTGTGTGAGTTATAACTCTGTGTGTGTGTGTGTCTGTGTGTGTGTGTCTGTGTGTGAGTTATAACTCTGTGTGTGTCTGTGTGTGAGTGTGTGTGCGAGTTATAACTGTGTGTGTGTGTCTGTGTGTGTGTCTGTGTGTGAGTTATAACTCTGTGTGTGTGTCTGTGTGTGAGTTATAACTGTGTGTGTGTCTGTGTGAGTTATAACTCTGTGTGTGTGTCTGTGTGAGTTATAACTCTGTGTGTCTATGTGTGTGTGTCTGTGTGTGAGTTATAACTCTGTTTGTCTGAGTTATAACTCTGTGTGTGTGTCTGTGTGAGTTATAACTCTGTGTGTGTGTCTGTGTGTGAGTTATAACTCTGTGTGTGTGTCTGTGTGTGTGTCTCTGTGTGTGAGTTATAACTCTGTGTGTGTGTCTGTGTGTAAGTTATAACTCTGTGTGTGTCTGTGTGTAAGTTATAACTCTGTGTGTGTGTCTGTGTGTGGGTTATAACTCTGTGTGTGTCTCTGTGTGTGAGTTATAACTCTGTGTGTGTGTCTGTGTGCGAGCTATAACTCTGTGTGTGTCTCTGTGTGTGAGTTATAACTCTGTGTGTGTGTGTCTGTGTGTCTCTGTGTGTGAGTTATAACTCTGGGTGTGTCTGTGTGTGTGTCTCTAAACGTGAACGTCTGTGTGTGTCTGTGTGAGTTATAACTCTGTGTGTCTATGTGTGCGAGTTATAACTCTGGGTGTCTGTGTGAGTTATAACTGTGTGTCTATGTGTGCGAGTTATAACTCTGGGTGTCTGTGTGAGTTATAACTGTGTGTCTATGTGTGCGAGTTATAACTCTGGGTGTCTGTGTGAGTTATTACTCTGTGTGTCTATGTGTGCGAGTTATAACTCTGGGTGTCTGTATGAGTTATAACTCTGTGTGTCTATGTGTGCGAGTTATAACTCTGGGTGTCTGTGTGAGTTATAACTCTGTGTGTCTATGTGTGCGAGTTATAACTCTGGGTGTCTGTGTGAGTTATAACTCTGTGTGTCTATGTGTGCGAGTTATAACTCTGGGTGTCTGTGTGAGTTATAACTCTGTGTGTCTATGTGTGCGAGTTATAACTCTGGGTGTCTGTGTGAGTTATAACTCTGTGTGTCTATGTGTGCGAGTTATAACTCTGGGTGTCTGTGTAAGTTATAACTCTGTGTGTCTATGTGTGCGAGTTATAACTCTGGGTGTCTGTGTGAGTTATTACTCTGTGTGTCTATGTGTGCGAGTTATAACTCTGGGTGTCTGTGTGAGTTATAACTCTGTGTGTCTATGTGTGCGAGTTATAACTCTGGGTGTCTGTGTGAGTTATAACTCTGTGTGTCTATGTGTGCGAGTTATAACTCTGTGTGTCTATGTGTGCGAGTTATAACTCTGCGTCCTGTCTGAGTATCTATGTATCCGTGTCTGTCTGTGTCTGTGTCAATCTGTGTCTGTGTCTAAGTAGTTTTTTTGGGAGATCGCGATGCCGAGGACGACTTGGAGGATCTGGAGACAAGAGAGACAGAGACACACGGAGAGACACGGAGAGACAGAGACACACGGAGAGACACGGAGAGACAGAGAGACACGGAGAGACAGAGACACACGGAGAGACACGGAGAGACACGGAGAGACAGAGACACACGGAGAGACACGGAGAGACACGGAGAGACAGAGACACACGGAGAGACAGAGAGACAGAGACACACGGAGAGACAGAGAGACAGAGACACACGGAGAGACACGGAGAGACACGGAGAGACACGGAGAGACAGAGACACACGGAGAGACAGAGACACACGGAGAGACACGGAGAGACAGAGAGACACGGAGAGACACGGAGAGACAGAGACACATGGAGAGACAGAGACACACAGAGACACACGGAGACACACGGAGAGACAGAGACACACGGAGAGACACACGGAGAGACAGAGACACACGGAGAGACACGGAGAGACACGGAGAGACAGAGACACACGGAGAGAGAGACACACGGAGAGACACGGAGAGACACGGAGAGACAGAGACACACGGAGAGACAGAGACACACGGAGAGACAGAGAGACACGGAGAGACACGGAGAGACAGAGACACACGGAGAGACACAGAGAGACAGAGACACACGGAGAGACAGAGACACACGGAGAGACACGGAGAGACACACGGAGAGACACGGAGAGACAGAGAGACACGGAGAGATAGAGACACACGGAGAGACACGGAGAGACAGAGACACACGGAGAGACAGAGACACACGGAGAGACAGAGACACACAGAGACACACGGAGACACACGGAGAGACAGAGACACACGGAGAGACACACGGAGAGACAGAGACACACGGAGAGACACGGAGAGACACGGAGAGACAGAGACACACGGAGAGAGAGACACACGGAGAGACACGGAGAGACACGGAGAGACAGAGACACACGGAGAGACAGAGACACACGGAGAGACAGAGAGACACGGAGAGACACGGAGAGACAGAGACACACGGAGAGACACAGAGAGACAGAGACACACGGAGAGACAGAGACACACGGAGAGACACGGAGAGACACACGGAGAGACACGGAGAGACAGAGAGACACGGAGAGATAGAGACACACGGAGAGACACGGAGAGACAGAGACACACGGAGAGACAGAGACACACGGAGAGACAGAGACACACGGAGAGACACAGAGAGACACGGAGACACACGGAGAGAGACAGAGACACACGGAGAGACACGGAGACACACGGAGAGACAGAGACACACGGAGAGACAGAGAGACACACAGAGACACGGAGACACACGGAGAGACACGGAGAGACACGGAGAGACAGAGACACACGGAGAGAGAGACACACGGAGAGACACGGAGAGACACGGAGAGACAGAGACACACGGAGAGACAGAGACACACGGAGAGACAGAGAGACACGGAGAGACACGGAGAGACAGAGACACACGGAGAGACACGGAGAGACACGGAGAGACAGAGACACACGGAGAGATAGAGACACACGGAGAGACACACGGAGAGACACGGAGAGACAGAGAGACACGGAGAGATAGAGACACACGGAGAGACACGGAGAGACAGAGACACACGGAGAGACAGAGACACACGGAGAGACACGGAGAGACACGGAGAGACAGAGACACACGGAGAGACACGGAGACACACGGAGAGACAGAGACACACGGAGAGACACGGAGAGACACAGAGAGACAGAGACACACGGAGAGACAGAGAGACACACAGAGACACGGAGAGACACGGAGAGACACGGAGAGACAGAGACACACGGAGAGACAGAGACACACGGAGACACACGGAGAGACACACGGAGAGACAGAGACACACGGAGAGACAGAGACACACGGAGAGACACGGAGAGACACGGAGAGACAGAGACACACGGAGAGAGAGACACACGGAGAGACACGGAGAGACACGGAGAGACAGAGAGACACGGAGAGACACGGAGAGACACGGAGAGACACGGAGAGACAGAGACACACGGAGAGAGAGACACACGGAGAGACACGGAGAGACAGAGAGACACGGAGAGACACGGAGAGACAGAGACACACGGAGAGACAGAGACACACGGAGAGACAGAGAGACACGGAGAGACACGGAGAGACAGAGACACACGGAGAGACACAGAGAGACAGAGACACACGGAGAGACAGAGACACACGGAGAGACACGGAGAGACACACGGAGAGACACGGAGAGACAGAGAGACACGGAGAGACAGAGACACACGGAGAGACACGGAGAGACAGAGACACACGGAGAGACACGGAGACACACGGAGAGAGACAGAGACACACGGAGAGACACGGAGAGACAGAGACACGGAGAGACACGGAGACACACGGAGAGACAGAGACACACGGAGAGACAGAGAGACACAGAGAGACACGGAGAGACACGGAGAGACACGGAGAGACAGAGACACACGGAGAGACAGAGACACACAGACAGACACAGAGATAGACACAGAGACAGACACAGAGATAGGCAGACAGAGACAGACACAGAGAGACAGACACAGAGACACAGACACAGAGATAGACAGACACACAGACACAGAGATAGACAGAGACAGACACAGAGATAGACAGAGACAGACAGACACAGAGATAGACAGACAGAGACAGACAGAGACAGACAGACACAGAGACAGAGATAGACAGAGACAGACAGAGAGACAGAGAGACACAGAGACACAGAGACAGAGATAGACAAAGACAGACAGAGAGACACAGAGACAGACACAGAGATAGAGATAGACAGGGTTAGACAGACACAGAGATAGACAGACAGAGAGAGACAGAGAGACACAGACACAGAGATAGACAGACAGACACAGAGAGAGACAGATACAGAGACAGACACAGAGACACAGACACAGAGAGAGACAGACACAGAGACACACACAGAGACAGACACAGAGACAGACACAGAGACAGACACAGAGACACACACAGAGACAGAGACAGACACAGAGACACACAGACACAGAGACACACAGACACAGAGACACACACAGACAGACACAGAGACACACACAGAGACACAGACACAGAGAGAGACAGACAGAGACACACACAGAGACAGACACAGAGACACAGAGATAGACACACAGACACAGAGACACACACAGACAGACACATACACAGACAGACACAGAGATAGACAGACAGAGATAGACAGAGACACAGACAGAGACACAGAGAGAGACAGGGAAGAGATATTTTGTTAATCTTGTTCAGTGACACACGGTGACATCACGGTGACATCACGGTGACATCAGTGACATCACGGTGACATCACGGTGACATCAGTGACATCACGGTGACATCACGGTGACATCAGTGACATCACGGTGACATCACGGTGAAATCATGGTGACATCACGGTGACATGGCGTGACATCACGGTGACATCACGGTGACATCACGGTGACATCACGGTGACATCAGTGACATCACGGTGACATCACAGTGACATCAGTGACATCACGGTGACATGACGTGCCATCACAGTGACAACACAGTAGCGTGGCGTTACATCAATGACATCATGGTGACATCACAGTGACATCACGGTGACATCACAGTGACAACACAGTAGCGTGGCGTTACATCAATGACATCACGGTGACATCACAGTGACATCACGGTGACATCACAGTGACATCACAGTGACATCACAGTGACATCACGGTGACATCACGGTGACATCATGGTGACAACACAGTAGCGTGACATCACAGTGACATCACAGTGACAACACAGTAGCGTGGCGTGACATCACAGTGACATCACAGTGACATCACAGTGACATCACGGTGACATCACAGTGACATCACGGTGACATCACGGTGACATCACGGTGACAGTGACGTCAAAGTAACATGGAATGACACCACATTATGGGTCTAGGTGGCTGCCATAGTCAGCTTGGCTAGAGAGACGTCCTAACTGGCTAGGTTGGCTGATGAGTGTGTCGATGTCACCGTGGGGTTAGGGGTCGTGGGGTTAGGGGTCGTGGGGTTAGGGGTCGTGGGGTTAGGGGTCGTGGAGCAGACAGCGCGTCAAACACGGTGAGCCGAGTTGGATTCCCGCTCAAGGCCAACACCGGTGAGAGCGATCATCTCAACCGGTCCTGGTGATGGTGATGATGGTGGTGGTGATGGTGGTGGTGGTGGTGATGGTGATGGTGGTGATGGTGGTGATGATGGTGGTGATGGTGGTGATGGTGGTGGTGATGGTGGTGATGGTGGTGGTGATGGTGGTGATGATGGTGGTGATGGTGGTGATGGTGGTGGTGATGGTGGTGGTGATGGTGGTGGTGATGGTGGTGGTGGTGATGGTGGTGGTGATGGTGGTGGTGATGGTGGTGGTAGTGGTGGTGGTGATGGTGGTGGTGGTGGTGGTGATGGTGGTGATGGTGGTGGTGGTGATGGTGGTGGTGGTGGTGGTGGTGATGGTGGTGGTGGTGATGGTGGTGGTGGTGATGGTGGTGATGGTGGTGGTGGTGATGGTGGTGATGGTGGTGATGGTGGTGGTGATGGTGGTGATGGTGGTGGTGATGGTGGTGGTAGTGATGGTGGTGATGGTGGTGGTGATGGTGGTGGTGATGGTGGTGGTGATGGTGGTGGTGATGGTGGTGATGGTGGTGGTGATGGTGGTGATGGTGGTGGTAGTGATGGTGGTGATGGTGGTGATGGTGGTGGTAGTGATGGTGGTGATGGTGGTGGTGATGGTGGTGGTGATGGTGGTGATGGTGGTGGTGATGGTGGTGGTGATGGTGGTGGTGATGGTGGTGATGGTGGTGATGATGGTGGTGGTGGTGATGGTGGTGATGGTGGTGGTGATGGTGGTGATGGTGGTGGTGGTGATGGTGGTGATGATGGTGGTGGTGGTGATGGTGGTGATGGTGGTGGTGATGGTGGTGGTGGTGATGGTGGTGGTGGTGGTGATGGTGGTGGTGGTGATGGTGGTGGTGATGGTGGTAGTGGTGATGGTGGTGGTGGTGGTGATGGTGGTGATGGTGGTGGTGGTCCTGGTGGTGGTGGTGGTGGGGGTGGTGGTGGTGATGGTGGTGATGGTGGTGGTGATGATGGTGGTGATGATGGTGGTGATGGTGGTGGTGATGGTGGTGGTGGTGATGATGGTGGTGATGGTGGTGATGGTGGTGGTGATGGTGGTGATGGTGGTGGTGGGGGTGATGGTGGTGATGGTGGTGGTGATGGTGGTGGTGGTGATGGTGGTGGTGGTGATGGTGGTGATGGTGGTGGTGATGATGGTGGTGGTGATGGTGGTGATGGTGGTGATGGTGGTGGTGGTGGTGATGGTGGTGGTGGTGATGGTGGTGATGGTGGTGATGGTGGTGATGGTGGTGGTGGTGATGGTGGTGATGGTGGTGATGGTGGTGGTGATGGTGGTGATGGTGGTGGTGGTGATGGTGGTGATGGTGGTGATGGTGGTGGTGATGGTGGTGATGGTGGTGATGGTGGTGGTGATGGTGGTGGTAGTGATGGTGGTGATGGTGGTGGTGATGGTGGTGGTGATGGTGGTGGTGATGGTGGTGGTGATGGTGGTGGTGATGGTGGTGGTAGTGATGGTGGTGATGGTGGTGATGGTGGTGGTAGTGATGGTGGTGATGGTGGTGGTGATGGTGGTGGTGATGGTGGTGGTGATGGTGGTGATGGTGGTGATGATGGTGGTGATGATGGTGGTGGTGATGGTGGTGATGGTGGTGATGGTGGTGGTGATGGTGGTGGTGATGGTGGTGATGGTGGTGGTGATGGTGGTGGTGATGGTGGTAGTGATGGTGGTGATGGTGGTGGTGATGGTGATGATGGTGGTGGTGGTGATGGTGGTGGTGATGGTGGTGGTGATGGTGGTGGTGGTGATGGTGGTGGTGATGGTGGTGGTGGTGGTGATGGTGATGATGGTGGTGATGGTGGTGGTGATGGTGGTGATGGTGGTGGTATGGGGAGCGATAGTGTAGCGGTTAGCGCTACGCTGTGCTATGAACCTGGCGACCCGGGTTCGATTCCCGCTCACGGCCAACACCAGTGACGATTATCTGAACCGGTCCCGGGCCTCCCCTAGGTCGACTCAGCCTCAAATGAGTACCTGGTGCGGTGTGTAACCATTGCCACTAGGGAGACAAAGGCGGTCGGGCGTGGTGCTGGCCACCCACCCCCTCGTGTACCGTTCCGGCCTTCATAGGTGCTCGCTAACAGCACTTGCCCCTACAGTCTGTTAAGGCTATATGGGGGATCTTTGTTGTTCTTTGTCTTTGATGGTGGTGGTGATGGTGGTGGTGGTGATGGTGGTGGTGATGGTGGTGGTGGTGGTGATGGTGGTGGTGGTGGTGATGGTGGTTATGGTGATGGTGGTGATGGTGGTGGTGGTAATGGTGGTGATGGTGATGATGGTGGTGATGGTGGTAATGATGGTGGTGATGGTGGTGGTGATGGTGGTGATGGTGGTGATGGTGGTGGTGATGGTGGTGGTGATGATAGTGGTGATGGTGGTGGTAGTGATGGTGGTGATGGTGGTGATGGTGGTGGTGATGGTGGTGGTGATGGTGGTGATGGTGGTGGTGATGGTGGTGGTGATGGTGGTGGTGGTGATGGTGGTGATGGTGGTGGTGGTGATGGTGGTGGTGATGATGGTGGTGATGGTGGTGATGATGGTGGTAGTGATGGTGGTGGTGATGGTGGTGGTGATGGTGATGGTGGTGGTGATGATGGTGGTGGTGGTGATGGTGGTGGTGATGGTGGTGGTGATGATGATGATGGTGGTGGTGGTGATGGTGGTGGTGGTGATGATGGTGGTGATGGTGGTGGTGGTGATGGTGGTGATGGTGGTGGTGATGATGGTGGTGATGGTGGTGATGATGGTGGTGATGGTGGTGATGGTGGTGGTGATGGTGGTGGTGGTGGTGATGGTGGTGATGGTGGTGATGGTGGTGATGGTGGTGGTGATGGTGATGGTGGTGGTGATGATGGTGATGGTGATGATGGTGGTGGTGATGATGGTGGTGGTGGTGATGGTGGTGGTGGTGGTGATGGTGGTGGTGATGGGTGACGGTGGTGGTGATGGTGATGGTGATGATGGTGGTGATGATGGTGGTGATGGTGGTGATGATGGTGGTGATGGTGGTGATGGTGGTGGTGATGATGGTGGTGATGGTGGTGGTGATGGTGGTGGTGATGGTGGTGATGGTGGTGATGGTGGTGGTGATGGTGATGGTGGTGATGGTGGTGGTGATGGTGGTGATGGTGATGGTGGTGGTGATGGTGGTGGTGATGGTGGTGGTGATGGTGGTGGTGATGGGTGACGGTGGTGGTGATGGTGATGATGATGGTGGTGGTGATGGTGGTGGTAATGGTGATGATGGTGATGGTGGTGGTGATGGGTGACGGTGGTGACCGTGCATGACCATGTGACCGTGTCATCACGTGACCGTGTCACCACATGACCATGTGACCATGTCATCACGTGACCTTGTGACCATGTGACCGTGTGACCGTGTGATCACGTGACTGTGTCATCACGTGACCATGTGATCACGTGACCGTGTCATCACGTGACCATGTGATCACGCGACTGTGTCATCACGTGACCGTGTGATCACGTGACCTTGTGATCACGTGACTGTGTGACTGTGTCATCACGTGACCTTGTGACTGTGTCATCACGTGACTGTGTCATCACGTGACTGTGTGTGATCACGTGACTGTGTCATCACGTGACCTCGTGACCTCGTGACCGTGTGACCGTGTGACCGTGCGACCAAACCTGTCCCGTGAGCCACGCTGCTGCTGCTGTTGCTTCTGCCGCTTGTGGTGGTGGTGGTGGTGAGCGGCCGGGGGTGAGGAGCTGGAGGAGTGGCCTGGGGAGCGGTGAGCTGGTGTGGAGCTGGAGGAGGAGGAGGTGGAGGAGGAGGTGGACGAGGAGGTGGACGAGGAGGTGGACGAGGAGCGACGCTGAGGACGAGAACCGGAGGATTTGGAGGAGCCGGAGGAGCTGGAGGAGCGATGGCGACGTTTAAGAGACTCGGACCTGCAGGGTGTAGGGAGGGGTGTGGAGATACTCACCACTCACTCACTCACCACTCACTCACTCACCACTCACTCACCACTCACTCACCCACTCACTCACCACTCACTCACCACTCACTCACCACTCACTCACCACTCACCCACTCACTCACCACTCACCACTCACTCACCACTCACTCACCACTCACTCACTCACCCACTCACTCACCACTCACTCACCCACTCACTCGCCACTCACTCACTCACTCACCACTCACTCACCACTCACTCACTCACCACTCACCACTCACTCACCACTCACTCACCACTCACTCACTCAGTCACCACTCATCACTCACTCATTCACTACTCACTCACCACTCACCACTCACTCACCACTCACTCACCACTCACTCACTCACCACTCACTCACTCACCACTCACTCACTCACCACTCACTCACCACTCACTCACTCACCACTCACTCACCACTCACCACTCACTCACTCACCACTCACTCACCACTCACCCACTCACTCTCACTCACCACTCACTCACTCACCACTCACTCACTCACCACTCACTCACTCACCACTCACTCACCACTCACTCACTCACCACTCACCACTCACCCACTCACTCACCACTCACCACTCACTCACCACTCACTCACCACTCACTCACCACTCACTCACCACTCACTCACTCACCACTCACCACTCACTCACCACTCACTCACCACTCACTCACTCACCACTCACCCACTCACTCACCACTCACCCACTCACTCACCACTCACTCACTCACTCACCACTCACTCACCACTCATTCACTCACCACTCACTCACCACTCACTCACCCACCACTCACTCACCCACTCACCACTCACTCACCACTCACTCACCCACTGACCACTCACTCACCACTCACTCACCACTCACTCACTCACCACTCACTCACCACTCACTCACCACTCACTCACTCACCACTCACTCACCACTCACTCACCATTCACTCACTCACCACTCACTCACCACTCACTCACCACTCACTCACCCACCCACCACTCACCACTCACTCACTCACCACTCACTCACCACTCACTCGCTCACCACTCGCTCACCACTCACTCGCTCACCACTCGCTCACCACTCACTCGCTCACCACTCGCTCACCACTCGCTCACCACTCACTCACCACTCACTCACCACTCACCACTCACTCACCCACTCACTCACCCACCCACTCACTCACTCACTCACCACTCACTCACCACTCACTCACCACTCACTCGCCCACTCACTCACCACTCACTCACTCACCCACTCACCCACTCACTCACTCACCACTCACTCACCACTCACTCACCACTCACTCACCACTCACTCAGCCACTCACTCACTCACTCACCACTCACCACTCACTCAGCCACTCACTCACCCACTCACTCACCACTCACTCACCCACTCACTCACTCACCACTCACTCACCACTCACTCACTCACTCACCACTCACTCACCACTCACTCACTCACCACTCACTCACTCACCACTCACTCACCCACCACTCACTCACCCACTCACTCACTCACCACTCACTCGCCCACTCACTCACCACTCACTCACTCGCCCACTCACTCGCCCACTCGCTCACTCACTCACTCACTCGCCCACTCGCTCACTCACTCACTCACCACTCACTCACCACTCACTCACTCACTCACCACTCACTCACCCACTCACTCACCCACTCCCTCACCCACCCACTCACTCACCACTCACTCACTCACCACTCACTCACCACTCACTCACCACTCACTCACCACTCACTCACCAACTCACTCACCAACTCACTCACCCACCACTCACTCACCACTCACTCACCACTCACTCAATCACCACTCACTCACCACTCACTCACCAACTCACTCACCAACTCACTCACCACTCACTCACCACTCACTCACTGACCACTCACTCACTCACCCCTCACTCACCACTCACTCACCACTCACTCACCACTCACTCACTCACCACTCACTCACCACTCACTCACCACTCACTCACTCAGTCACTCACTCACTCACCACTCACTCACCACTCACTCACCCACTCACTCACTCACTCACCACTCACTCACCCACTCACTCACCACTCACTCACCACTCACTACTCACTCACCACTCACTCACCACTCACTCACCACTCACTCACCACCCACTCACCACTCACTCACCACCCACTCACTCCTCACTCACTCACCACTCACTCACTCACCCACTCACTCACTCACTCACCCACTCACTCACTCACCACTCACTCACCACTCACCACACACTCACTCACCACTCACTCACCACTCACTCACCACTCACTCACTCGCCCACTCACTCACTCGCCCACTCGCTCACTCACTCACCACTTACTCACCACTCACTCACTCACCACTCACTCACCCACCCACTCACCACTCACTCACCACTCACTCACCACACACTCACTCACCACTCACTCACCACTCACTCGCCCACTCGCTCACTCACTCACTCACCCACTCACTCACCCACTCACTCACCCACTCACTCACCCACTCACTCACCCACCCACTCACTCACCACTCACTCACCACTCACTCACCACTCACTCACCACTCACTCACTCACCACTCACTCACCACTCACTCACCAACTCACTCACTCACCAACTCACTCACTCACTCACCAACTCACTCACTCACCACTCACTCACTCACCCCTCACTCACCACTCACTCACCACTCACTCACCACTCACTCACTCACCACTCACTCACCACTCACTCACCCACTCACTCATTCACTCACCACTCACTCACCACTCACTCACCTACACACTCACCACTCACTCACCACTCAACACTCACCACTCACTCACCACTCACCCACCACTAACTCACTCACCCACTCACTCACCACTCACTCACTCACCACTCACTCACCACTCACTCACCACTCACTCACTCACTCACCACTCACTCACCACTCACTCACTCACCACTCACTCACCACCCACTCACTCACCCACTCACTCACCCACTCCGTCACCCACCCACTCACTCACCACTCACTCACCACTCAATCACCACTCACTCACTCACCACTCACTCACCACTCACTCACCAACTCACTCACTCACCAACTCACTCACTCACCAACTCACTCACTCACTCACCACTCACTCACCAACTCACTCACTCACTCACCACTCACTCACCAACTCACTCACCACTCACTCACTCACCACTCACTCACCACTCACTCACCACTCACTCACTCACCACTCACTCACCACTCACACACCACTCACTCACCCACTCACTCACTCACCACTCACTCACCACTCACTCACCTACACACTCACCACTCACTCACCACTCACTCACCACTCAACACTCACCACTCACTCACCACTAACTCACTCACCCACTCACTCACCACTCACTCACCACTCACTCACCACTCACTCACCACTCACTCACTCACCACTCACTCACCACCCACTCACTCACCACCCACTCACTCACCACTCACTCACCACTCACTCACTCACTCACCACTCACTCACTCACCCACTCACTCACCCACTCACTCACTCACTCACCCACTCACTCACCACTCACTCACTCACCACTCACTCACCACTCACCCACCACTCACTCACCACTCACTCACCACTCACTCACTCGCCCACTCACTCACTCGCCCACTCGCTCACTCACTCACCACTTACTCACCACTCACTCACTCACCACTCACTCACCCACTCACTCACCCACTCACTCACCCACTCACCACTCACTCACCACACACTCACTCACCACTCACTCACTCACTCGCCCACTCGCTCACTCACTCACTCACCACTCACTCACCCACTCACTCACCCACTCACTCACCCACTCACTCACCCACTCACTCACCCACTCCGTCACCCACCCACTCACTCACCACTCACTCACCACTCACTCACCACTCACTCACCACTCACTCACTCACCACTCACTCACCACTCAATCACCAACTCACTCACTCACCAACTCACTCACTCACTCACCACTCACTCACCAACTCACTCACTCACCACTCACTCACTCACCCCTCACTCACCACTCACTCACCACTCACTCACCACTAACTCACCACTCACTCACCACTCACTCACTCACCACTCACTCACCACTCACACACCACTCACTCACCCACTCACTCACTCACTCACCACTCACTCACCACTCACTCACCTACTCACTCACCACTCACTCACCACTCAACACTCACCACTCAACACTCACCACTCAACACTCACCACTCACTCACCACTCACCCACCACTAACTCACTCACCCACTCACTCACCACTCACTCAACACTCACCACTCACTCACCACTCACTCACTCACCACTCACTCACTCACCACTCACCACTCACTCACCCACCCACTCACCACTCACTCACCACTCACTCACCACTCACTCACCACTCACTCACCACTCACTCACCACTCACTCACTCACTCACCACTCACTCACCACTCACTCACTCACCACTCACTCACTCACCACTCACTCACTCACCACTCACTCACTCACCACTCACTCACCCACCACTCACTCACCCACTCACTCACTCACCACTCACTCACCACTCACCCACCACTCACTCACCACTCACTCACTCACCACTCACTCACCCACTCACTCACCCACTCACTCACCCACTCACTCACCCACTCACTCACCCACTCACTCACCCACTCATCACTCACTCACTCACCACTCACTCACCACTCACTCACTCGCCCA